ATCGAGCCTCGGTACAATGTTACACGGATATCCTCTAATTTACTATAAACAGTCGACTATTTTACATTATCCAGATTTTTTTTAATTTCGGTTTTAATACATTTACAACTAATCTATTTTTTATTTTATTTTAATTTTTTTTAATTTTTTTTTTTTTTTAGGAAAAAAAAGACGACGTTGATTTTCTCATGCATCAAAATCGGTAATTTTTACAATTAAATCTTCATAATTCTTCACCTTCACGTAGATGAGAATCTCCTTGATCAGCTCTTCCAAAACATGAATTACATTGTCATCATAATATTCATTCTCAATTCTATAAGAAAGATAATCTAGATTCTTCGTTTTAACAAAATCTTTTAGGGCGTTTGAAGTATCAAGCGTAGAATTATAGTTTCTGTTTCTGATTATCAATTTCTTAATTCTACCACCTCTATAACCATTCAGGAAGGTTCGCAGGCTTCCCGGATTAAAAGGGAGGTTTAGATTTAAGTATTCTAAAGTTCCTGTTAATAATTGACCCAAACCTTCTAATGAATCAGCCTTATTATCCAAATTAAAATTGTTATATTCCAGTGTAAGATATTTAAGGTGATCACTTGAATTGGTGATTAATTTAAATAATCGAGGATTATCAATAACATTAAGATTACTCAAATGAAGGAATTTGATTTTGTCACAATGTTCAATAACACTTTCCAACGCCTTTTCCCTCATGATATTATTATAAATACCCAACTCCAAATGTTCCAGATAAGGACCAATCTTTTGAAATAACAATTGTAACGGGACGATCGTGGTAATTTTACAAGATATCGTCAAGGAGTTGATTTTCAACGGGGTAGGGATGTCGAGCAAAGGTTGAATGACATGATTCAATCTCAAACATTCAATAACGTGAAGGGATTTAAGTTGCGTGAGGTGTCTCAACCCATGAAATGACGAATTATCTATAAAGTAGCACGAATTGAACTTTAAAAAAGTCAAGGTCTTTGAACAATGCCTGAAGGCATCGGTCATGAAAATACTTGATGCCGTAATTGTAAGCGATGATAGATTTGCTTGAGATTGAATTAAATTCGTTAGGTTATTCGTGAGTAATATGTTATCAATGAAATTCAAGGAAAGGGTTTGTTTCTTTATTGAGGTGAATAAGGATAAGAAGGATCGAAGGATGACGTCTCTTGATGAATTGATTGGAAAATCCGTATATGGAAATATCAAGGTAAAATTTTCAACATCCGAGA